CGAATGATCGAATAATCATTCGATTCGGTCCAAAGTATATGGCGTAGCGATCGCTAGGCGGTCTTCGCTCCACACTCGGGTTAGCGATCGCCGCGTGGAGATCAAGAGTAGGTCTAGCAAGATCACTTCAACAGCTAGAAGAAGAGAAAGAAATCCTGCACGTCGGATCGCCCCTAGGCGCCGGGTGGTAGCAAGAATGATGTCACGGAACCTCAAGGCGCCTTTTAGATCGGACGTAAATCGACAAGTGTGTCCGGACGATACGCCATGGAGACTTTCTTATGCTCTGCACCTACAACGCCAGGACAATCTCCACAAATGCTGTTGGCAACCTTAACGCAAAAGTCGGGATGATACTACAAGAGGAATATCGGATTGGGAAGTTTGGATATAGGCTTCGGAACGAAAACGGCAACCGTCTCTTTGAGCTTCTCTCGACCTCGCGGTTTCATGGAAATTCCACTTTCATGAAGAAAGAACATTGCCGGCGGACATGTGAATCGGCCAACGGAAGAACTAATGCCTCGATCACATTTTAACCGACCGAAGGTGGAGCTTGCTCGATGTCTTAATAGTTCCATTCTTCTGCAGTGGCTCCTATCATCGCCTTTTTCAAAGAAAGTGCAGTCCAGTTCACAGCTGGGATCACTGCTATATTATCGCAAGAAGTAGTCGTTTGCTACGATTTCAAATTGGAGGAGCATATATCAAGTGTGAATGCCATCGAGGAGGAGAAGAGGACCCGATGTACAGAACACGATCTTTTGAAAATGACTGCGGTCTGCAGAGATTACGCCAAAGGGTATGAGGGGAGGGGTATCGCGAAGGCCCAAAGATGAGGTAAATTTGGCATTCCAAAAACCAGCTTTTGCAAAAAGCTAAGAATTTGAAGTGTATCTCTAAAGTTTGTAGTATAGAACTACACATGTAGGAACGGTCAAAAATTGCGTTGACAGAAGCTTGCCAGTCTTCGTTTCCTCGATCTTTAACCGCGGAAACAATTCTGAAAATGTTATGAGCTTGCAGCCCTATTGAATAGTAATCCAATCTCTTTTTACCATTTACCCTGCATTAGTAGCATCACACAAGGGTACTACACTTGTTTTTAGATATGAGTGAAACAGCACTTCTTTCGGCAGAAACCAGCACTGACATACAGCTAGAAGGTGCGAATGGTAGAGAACTAAACGAAGAGGGTTGGGATGATGAAGGAGGTAGGGATTTCAACAAGGTTCCATTCTATGTATATGTCCTACTACATCCTGTTCTAGCACCTCTCTTTCCAGAAATTGACGTTATTCATATGGACGATGATACAGATAAGCTTGCTATAAATGCAGAAGCCATTGGAAATGGAGAATACGTAGTTGTGGAAGAGGAAATGGTAATTTTCTAGTAATCGTCCAAAGCGATTTTACATGTAGCAATTTATATTAGATCTTTTTGCTCTCGAGTTCGAAGCCAAAAACTAAAAAGATTTAACGCGTAAAAAATAGAGGAAAAAATTGTGACTAGGTCAGAAAATTCCTAGAAAATTCCTCACTTGCTCAAAATAGATACACTATCCACATCAGACATTTATATATGCTATGTATGGTATATATACCCCAGACTTTTT